TGAGGATCAACACAGACTGACTAATGTCTGAAGAGGGCTCAAACCGGTAGCCGAAACTTGTAATTTATTAGTTTATAGTCTAATTTTTTGGCGTGATGTTTCATCGCAGTTAATATAATATATAATTTTATGAAAATTTAAAAAATGTGGTTGACTCTTACTTCGCCCGTTGATTGAGTTTTGTTATTATATTTTATTTCAATCTCTCATTTTAATACATTGTTATACTTAATAAACTTCAAATATCATCCGCACATTGCATAATACCAATATTATAAAATTGTGAGAAATTATCCCATACAATACTACTGTCTTAAAGGATATTCAAAGGATGTTTTCATCATAAGATGTCTTCAAATGCTGCTCGGAGAATTACGTTCTATGGGACTTTTTAAATAAAGATACTTGAAATATTATTTTGATTTTACTTTTTTTTATGCCATTATCTTTGGTTTTTTTTAGCAAAATATACTTGACGCCTTTTCTTATATATTAGAAGGCTTTGACATCCTTGCGCAATTAGAATGAGATTGACCGTTTCAATACTAGAGATATAAACAATTAAAAATTGCACTGTTTATACAAAAAATATAAAATTCACGAAAATGTATTTATTTTTGTAGGGCCTAAACTGACAATGACATGTTAATAAAAAATGAGCATGCGATAAGGGAACATGACACGAACATTTACCAAAAAACAATCATAATTTTGGATCGTTTAGTTAGGAAAATAGATCCACGAAAAGAACGTTTTGATTTTCTTTGGCACATAGTGGCGACTAAAGGAAGTGGTGGGGAGTAGAAGGGTTGGTTAGCGAGCATCTAGCAGATCTGGTAACACCGGCGTTAGTCTGCATCTATCTGTACTATTCATTTTCTTTCCACATATGCATACGGCCTTGGACAGGCACAATTGAAAGTTTTCTCCCTCTGGCGGGAGTAAGGTATCGCCACCGAGTCGAGCGCCGCGACGGAATTGAACTTTTGGACGGTATTATCGTGAGAGTACTATCTTAAACAAAACAATAATTTTTAATTATTATTATTATTATTATTAGGCGTTAGGAACTCGAAAGCTCATTGCCGCAAATACCAAATCCCGCCACTGTTCCCGTCCCTGAGCAAGATCCCTCCATTTGTGACCCTCGTACCCCATAATTTTTAATTACATAAGCGAATTCTTTCTTGTAAAAAATATGCTGTAGCATCTCTTTCATGACATTATCTCTTTCATATAATGTACTACAAAAATATACTTTACCGGAAATGCTACTGCGTTTCCTGATACGTGTGGGAGAAGGAGAAAGTAGATAAGTTAAAGTTTGAGAAGAAAAAGTTTAACCAATTAAAATTAAGTAGATCAAAAATCTTTTTTATTCTTATATATAATTCTATTAATGGAATCAGCTTTGAAATATAATTAAATTAAATTTAAAAAACTTGAACATTTAAATGTCTTTTTAGTCAAAATGTAGAAAAAGAGAAATTTTCGCTTTGCCCGACCTCTCTGGGCAAAGTGGATGGATCACTCGAGCAATGAGGGTGGCATTTAAAAAATCAAAATCAGTGTCGGCAGTCATTACAAAAGTAACTGCCAAATCCTCCATACGTTGTGCAGCTTTCGTGAGCCCATTGGTGTACTAACTGCACTGGATTCAATCTTCGGACAGTGAGTCAATGTATTTTTCAGAAAACACATCTGACTGCGTTGTAAAAAAAAAAAACAAAAGTGAGATGTAAATAATTATGTGCCTTTCGTTCATTTGAAAGATCGTCTGTCTCTTCATCTTCTTGGATTATTTTCAGTGCAATCACATATCGGGTGAAGAGGATGGTCCCTTCGCTTTGCGTCTATTCACTTTTCCCAAAGAACCTACTTGGCGTTAATTTGGAAAGATGTTAGAATAAGTTTAAGTGAAAAATTTTTACCTTGAATACATATTTAAAGCAAATAATAATAAGTAAAGGGCAAAGTAAGAGTCGACATATTTCTTTGAAATTAACTGAAGAATATATATTATAATATTACAATTAACAGAGATAAAATTACATAAAGCAAAAATAAAAATAAAATTAAGAAAATAATAAAAAGTTACAAGTTTCGGCTACCGAATTGAGACATTCGGCTATCCTCTTCAGACATTAACATAACGAAAAAATCGGTACAAAATCAATTATCGCAAGTGATCGCATATTCAATACATTCACAGTTCGGGTGAGTCTTGATGTAGAGTTCGACATTATTTTCGTATGATTGAACAGTCAAATGTATTAAAAATATCTTGGCAAAGCTCTAGTTGATAAAAAAGATAAAATAAAAACTTCTTACAAAAAAAAATCCAGCCAGCCAAATGTAGCCAATGGATACAGCGGACTATCGAAGAAACGATGACCCTTAGAGGACAATCAGGTTTATGAATCTTCGGCAATCCATAGACTCTCAGAAGTGATCCATCATTACAATATAACGTTCTGTACTTAGTGTCGCTAATATAATTTTTAGTTTTCCATCTGGTGAGCATGGACCTTAATGGACTTCATGAGTTTCTTAATAGGATCTTTATTGATCAGAACATATGTGTCTACATCACTCAATAAAGTGATCATTTTGTTCAAGTATGCGTCTTTATCCAAAGCGACTGTGACATTGCCTTTATCAGCGTGTGTAAAAATGATGTTAGGGTGTGCCGACACAAAGATACGTGTATCAGATTCCATTTTCAGTAATAGTTTGTCCGTCGGTGATGTGAAAATTGGAGAAGATATGATATTATTCAAAATTGGAATCAAATAGTTCGTGACAGCAATCTTCTTATCAATGGACATACGCTGTGTGCTACTCTCAACGTTCTTTATGCAATCAAAGATAATCTTGTGTTTGATGTTGAACGGAAGAGCGAAATTTTCGCCTAATTGCAAAAAACATTGTACGTTAATTGGAATATGAAAGGAAGATAAGTTTAGGAATCATCCGTCTCTAATAGTGGACAAAGAAGATGATCTATGTGAAGAGAAAGAATCGAGATGTATGGAAATCAAGGAACTAGAAGACAAACTAAGAGAAGGGTTGTTAACATGCAATGTATCAACATGAGAATTAAGATTAGAAAGAACCGAGTTGCACACGATTGTTGGGATAGATTTGCTGTATGCATCGTCTCTGTACTGTATCGCCGTGATTTGGGCTCTAGTCTGTGCTTCTTTCTTATCACAAAGCCACAGAAATTTATGTTGTAATCTTTCTGCTTTAAAAACACAATATTTAAAGACAGAAAATTTTTATAAAAAATCATTCACACTGATTAGAATCAATTACCGCTAATTATTAAGCTACGTTTCTTAGCAAAAATCGCAAGAAAATACATAATTTCTTTTATTTCTCTATCAAACGAGCGTAATCATATGTTATTTTGCACTTTCATGACGTCGCCGGTCGGTCATTCCTTCAATAGTTAGAAATTCATAGCATTATCTCTGATAAATAAGTGAAAATAAAAAATATTCGCTTTGCCCGGACTTCGATATATATATATATATATAGAAAGTCCGGGTATTGTGTGTATGTATACACACATTATATATACAATATATACATATATATGTATATATGTATACATAGGGTGTGTAAACAGAGTCGAAAAATCTTCTACTATTTTGCAATTTTTTTTGTTACCTAGAACAGTACCTGAACAGAATGTCTAAAATTGATGCATGAAACAACTTTAAGATACTTTTAAAAGTTCTTTAAGAAACATCTTTAACATATTTCATAAAAAATTGTGAAAGAAATCTTGAAGTTGTTTTATGCGTCGACTTTATTCACTTATTCGACAATCTTTAAAAATTGATAACTCGTTTACTATTGCGAAAATAGCAAAATAGTAGAGGACTTTATTCGATTCAGTTTAGTCCGCTCTATTTACACGCGAGCGCTTTGTCGAAACTTATCGGACACCGTGTATATCTGCCATATCTGATACAACGAAGCGGTAACGCGGAGAGCCAGAACGCGAGAGCCCGAAAAAGTTCGCGGCGTTGCAAAATCGAGATTCACCGTTGGGTCGACACGAACTCTTCGAGTGCTCGATGCACAAAAGCACCGCAGATTGCGCTGATTGCGCGGTACATTTACCCCGATCCCCAAGAGAGGGTTTGGTGGACGTGGAACTCGTGGGTAAACTCGATCCGCAAAAACGCCAACCGGGAACTTCAGTGGACAAATCGCGGCGACACTCTTCCGTGAACATTAGCCTATTCGACTTTTCTAATGCAATTTTTTATCATGGGATATACTGCGAATTCTATTTCCCGTCGAAGAGAAAAATCTACCTCGGACAACTACCCGGGAAAGTAGCTGTTCTTCAAACCGAATCGATTTCAACCGGCAAACTAAGACAGTGCGATTGAAGTCCTGAACTACTTTGGGGAAGGCAAACCGCTAAATGTTCTTCTGATCTTACGAGTTCGCCCACAAATTTGCAGAAGTGTCTCCAAGTATGTTGATGATGTTATTCACTGTCTTTGGTGTATAACTTATCGCAATTATAGCGATGTCAGAATCAGGAAGTGACCAGCGATCTATAGCGTCCAAAGCGGATGAAAATGGAAGAAAAATTATTTTAAGAAGATAGATAGTGTTGCTGTTACGATGCCGTATGAATATCATATATGATGAATGACCAGTTAATGTACACACGAAACAAGATTAATATCCATTTAATTCATTACATATTAAAGCTTGTATTAATTTGGAGCTGATTAATATTCTCTTAGCTTTAAATGTGAGCTCTTAGAATTTCACATTTCTATGTTATTAAAATTTAAATTTTTTATTAAAATCTTAGGTAATGATATTAAACAAAATAATTATATAAATT